ATATTTACCTTTGGAGGCAGGTATGATAGAAAGAGAATGTCATTTGGACTGAATTTGAGTTATTGACCCATAATGACAATATGCTGATACTCAATTCCAAGTGTTATAAATCCCTTTGAGTCTGACCAAGGCCTTTCTAAATGTTAAGGTAATTCTAGGAGGTGACTTAGAATCTCAGATTTTTAAAAATATTTATTTATTTAATTCTATGTGGTCTTGAGGATTGAACCCAGTGACTCACACCTGTGAGGCAGGTGCTCTACCACTGAGCTATAGCCCCAGCCCCAGAATTTCACATTTTTGGAGTGAGTCTATGTTCCATGGTAAAAGTCAGTGTGGGAAGAATTATCATTTTCTTTTTAAAATAATCACTGTGGGCTAGGGATACAGCTCAGTGGTAGAGTACTTGGCTATCATGCATGAAGCCCTGTGTTCCATTCCCAGTATCTCAAAACATAACACAACAAACTACACCTCCTTTTTGCCTTCCCAATGATATACATTTAACATGACATCTGCATGCCATATCTGCTATAAAAAACATTTGCAGAAAAGTTTCCTTCTCTGTGAAGACTTTTAACATAGATTGAGCTTTTTAACCAAATAACCTGCATTTCCCAAACACCACATTAAAAACTACTGCAAGCAGCATGCAAAAAGAAAAATGCTGGAGCAGAACTGTTCACACAGCCTGGATTTCATTTCAGTAATTCAGAATGAGCCTTAAGCCACATTACACAGTGATGGCAGTCAACATGCTGCACTCAAGTTAGAAACACATTTCCTTTTAGTTTATTCCAGTTCCTAACATACATTTGTTGCAGTAATCTTATTTTTTGCACAGCCAATAGTACCAAACAAACAAAAAAGGTCTAGATTTTATCTGTTGCCTGGTAACATAAGTACTCAATAAAAATAACAGGAAATATTTCCCAAAATTATGGTAAGAGAAAGAGCTAGGGAACCCACACTTGTTGTGGGATGTGATGAGTTTATTCAGCAATTTCCTAGCTAGTTTTGAATTCAATGCACAGAAAGGAGGATGAGAAGTTCCTATTTACATGATAATAGAATGTTGAGAATGTAACAAAATATATGGAACAAACTAGGATTCATTCAGGAACATTTGTGGGCACATTGTAGACGGAATTGAAGCTGCATTAATATTTGAAAGTGTGTCTAATTTTTGTCTGAAATGACTGGATGCAGTTATGAATTGTGTGTTGAAATATCATCATATTGCCCCCCTTGAAGAGGGCTCTATTTTTGTTTTGAGCATGTGCAATCTCAATTTATTCAGCTCTGGCACCTCTTGCACACCTACCATTCCTAACCCTACCTAGTCTTTAAGACCATAAGCAAAAGTAATATTAAGGGTTGAATATATGTCTGCACTTGGTATCTTAAACCCAGTGCCTCACACCTGCAAGGCAGGCACTCCACCACTGAGCTATAGCCCCATCCCCAGAATCTCACATTTTTGGAGTGAGTCTACATTCCAAAAATTGTGGCTCAGTGGTAGAGTGCTTGTGTAGCATGTGTGAGGCACTGGGTTTGAATCTCAGCACCACATATAAATAAATAAAGCCCACTGACAACTAAAAATTTTTTTATATTGATTGCCTTTTAAGTTTATATATAATGATTTTGAGAAATGGCAAAATATTTTTTAGTATTCTTGTAGGTGCCAGGGCATTGCGAATAGAAAGAAATGATAGGAGAGTGATGCACTGTTTTCTAGGCAGGACAGTCATTTAGACATCTCAATGGTAAGACACATGATTTCTAATTATAGCCCCTGTAGTTTGGGGTGGGGTGTAGACATAGTCCCATTATGTCAGTGTTAATTGAAACCATGAGAATGCAACTCTCTTTGGCGTAGGAGCTATTAATTTTCATGGTGCATGTAACCACTTGTGCAAAAGACCACAACAGACTTTACCCTTTCAGGCAAAACTGCTGCTACAAGCAGGTATATAAGAAATGCATCATGAACCATGGCAAATAAAGATGGAATAAGTAATACAAAGACGTGCAGCACTAGGGTATTCTTGAACCATCTGCTACTAATTAAGAGGACTTTTCTGAAGTTTGAGTAGAAAGCTCAATGGAGTGCATTGAAATCACTGGATGTTTGGGCCCAGAAAACTGAAGCAAGGCACATTTACTTCAGCGAAGCAGTGCCTTTATCTTGAAGTAACTTAAACTTGATTGTGCTAATGGCCTTTCAAAGATTTGGTTGTGATCAAATCATTGCTCAGCTTAAAACTGCGACCATTTTGTTGCAGAAGTAAACTGTAAAAGTAGGGCATCCACTCGTAAAGAGAAAGTAGGAACATCTCTGAGTTAAGTATGTAATCAGTAGCCCCAAGAATAGGATGCTTGTCACATTTGATTTTAAGGATCTCTTTGTAGATAAGTGGGAAAGGTGGGTCTCTTCAATTAGGAAACACATTTCCTACTCTAAAATGTCTTTTTAAAGCTCAAGGCAATTAATTTTATTGGGCACCAAAAGAAGGTATGCTTATTTTTTGGGTTGTTCTAGTTCCACATGGAAATTGCTGGCCGGCAGGTGTTAGAAGGGGTGAGAGTCCCTGTATCTGAAAAAAAAAATTGCTTCAGGGCCCAAACTGGTAGAAGATTTTAATTATAAATTAGTCACATGGATTTTTTCAACATTTTTAATTTCAAATAGGTTTTGAAAGCCAGGTCATTCATTGTCTTCCTCATGTCACTGTATCTTAAATTTTATTTAACTGGTAGTCATATTCCAACAGTTCATGTAATATTTTCTCAAGTGTGCAAGTATGTTTGGCATGCTTTTACAAACATTCCACAGATGATATATTTGGATACAATTCTTGCTTATGTACCTTTAGAAACTGATATGATGCCTATGTGTCTTCTTATTGTGCAATTTAGATAACATAAAACAACCTGGTTGAAGGGTTTGATTTCAAGTCAATCCTTAAGTCTAGAAGCAGCTCAATGGTGAAGCCAAAACAGTATTTTTCTATAAAGTTTCTGATTACAAATACAATACTTAAAGTAGCTGTAAAACATTATTTCCAACCTTACTGCCTTTTCAGCTTAGGGTAAACACAAGGAACCGTTGAAAAATATCAAATGTAAATAACTTTGATCTGGATTAACCATGCACTGTTTTAGGGACTCTGACATAAGTGTCTCCAAAATTAATAATGGTTGTTGGGGTTGGCAGAAATTGAGGAACCAAATTATTCCTTTAATTATAACAATCATCCCCTCACCCCAACCACAGCCTCATATACCCCCACAGATACTTGGAATGTACAATAAAAATATCATAAGGAAGAAGAATGAACAAAAACAGTGCAAAGAATTATTTTCTGATAGCTGATGGGCTGGAGATGATATAGAAAAAAACAATAATGTAATGCAATCAATCAACTAATCCTTATTATTATCCAATTCTAATGTGAAAAATCCTATAAGCAACTGTTTTTCATAACACATTATCCTTTAGAATCATTTTCTTCATTCTGCTAAATAAAATCTTCCTCTTTAACTGGGATGACTGTACATCCTGGGCAGTCCTCATTGCTTATTAATAGTGACACCTGTTGCCTGTATATAGTTATTAGCAATAAGCACCTCCTGGTTTAGACAATACATGTCCAAGTTTGGACAATACATTATATGGTCACATTAACTATAGATGAACTCTCTGATAGGGAGTCAGGTGACTATTTCAGTGTTTGTAGTCCTGTCCAGTGTTTCTGTTGACCAGTCCTTAAAACAACCAAATGGCCTAATTGGAGGCTGCTATCCTGTGTATATAGGCTCTTTAGCAATGACCTACACTTTGGCTTTTCCTTTGAGGGCCTAAAGGTAACACTAACATCAGTCTTGCAAACATAACTTTGCTCCAGTATATCTGTTTCTTCCCCGGTATTGGGGTCATGGAAGGGGAGTGGTGGAATGGCCTTGCAAAAATTTTTCAGGGGATGGGAATATAGCTCAGTGGTAGAGTGCTTGCCTAGCATATGCAAGATCTTGGGATCCATTGCCAGCACCACAAACAAAACAGCAGCAATAACAACAACAACAACAACCTTCATTGAGGAAGGAATGGGGAAATAGCAATAGAACCTTTTCCCCTTTGAAATCTTGCTCAAAACCCTATTGCATAAAAGCAAAAAAAGCGAAGCTTCTCCGGTGAAACTAGGGAGGTAAAGGCACAAATGCACAGTCCCACCCACTAAAAAACAGCAGATCCCTTCATCTTTGTGGAAGCCTAGAAGCACCTTCCAAGCTGGCCCCGAGGACCATAATCTGGAAAAAAAAAAAAAAAAAAAAAAACACTGATCTAGTCCAATTTGCTTAATGTACAATTGAGGAATTAGGTTCACTTCATCATCCTGCTTACACACTACAATTTTATTTCCTGTAATGGTAATCCTATAAATAATGTCATGGTCAAGAGCAATGGGGCCCATATTAATTATCATGAAAAGCTCTGTCTTCTAAAAGGCTCTGAGTATAACTTATAATAAGAGAGCATGGGCTCATGGGTTGGTTATAAATGACTTTATAGACTATAACTAGTAGGCTCCAACATAGTCACTCAAAACAACCAAATGTGGAACCTGTGTGTATAAGTTTCTTTTCCAAGATGGGGAGTGGAATAAAAAGAACTGAAGAGTATGGAGGTTATTAAGCTCATTTTTGAAATTAAGATTCCAGAGCAAACACATATCCTGCTTCTAAGAATGGTTGCTAAGGAAACCACAGAAAAGAATAATGATGATATATGAAGATGTTCATCATGGTTTTGTTTAGCAACTCTAAAAAGCACAAGTACGAGGACAAAGTGTGAGAGAAGAGGAGGCAAGAGACAAAGAGAGAAGACTTTTTGAGCCAATGGAATTCTAGTGATTCATTTCTGTACCTTTCCCAAACTTGCTTTTAAAATGAAACAAAACAAAAACACACACACATAGAATGCAAACAGCACTTACCACGGAGACTTTGCCCACTACATCTCTTGCAACTGCTAAGCCTTGAGCAAAAGTACGGGCTGCCACAAATGCACGAGTAACTTGTAGCTTCAATTTCCGAGGGACATCTCCAAAGGGCTTGAGCTGCTCAGTATACTTGCTCACACATTCCAGATACTCATCTGTGAAGTGGTACTGGGAGTTCACCAGGCGGAACATCCGTTCAAGGAGGCGAGCCCAGAAGTCATTAAGCATTTCTTCCAGGTTCACATTTCCTACCACATAGTAGTGCTTCAACTCCTTGAAGAGCTCTTTAAATACTTCTGAATTTTGCATGTATAAGCGGCCATATGTCTTCACAAACATATCATTCAGGGATTTCTCTGCATTTTCAAGTAGTTCTTTGAAGAATTCTAAAAACAAAACAAAAAATGAAAGAAGGGAAGAAGGGTTTTTTTTTTAGTAATTAAATAACGAAATGCTTTGCAGATAAATTTGAAAACTGAAAAGCATCAAGAAATTAAATTGGAAAACATGTTTGTATACAGAGTGAATGCTTTCTGGGGAATTTATCAATTCCAATCACTTGTCAGTGAAAAAAAAAACCTATGTCACAAAGTCACTTACACATGTGTCTACCTTTAAGAGATGGAAAATATGAAATTTAATTAAAAATATGAAATTTTAAAGCAACAACTACTCAGGAGTCAGTATAATATACACACATTCTCTTTCTGAATGAAAAACTGAACAAAAATTAACAAATGTGTAAAATATCAGGTTTTGAGGAACTTTCAACTGCATGAATCTAAACCCTAATTGTAACCTAAGAGCTGGATGGGCATTCTCAAAAGTTGTTTTACTTGGGTGTGAGGTTTTTCATTTCTCCTCCTTACATATCTATGTAGTAAGAAATTCTTGAGGCTAAGAAACATTATGAAATAGCCCTAGAAGCAAGCACAGAAGGGTTCTGAAAGTAAGTTCTTGGGTCCTCTGTGATATTAATATAAATTAATCTTGGGCTCCTAAAAGATTTGTACAGTGTCCTTTGTATGTGAAAGAAAAAAAAAAAGAGAGACATAGACAATAAGAATATAAATGCAAGGCTGGAGTTGTAGCTCAGCAGTAGAGCACTTGCCTAGCACATGAGAGGCAATGGGCTTTATCCTCAGCACCACATAAAAAATAAATAAGTAAAATAAAGGTGTATATCCATCTACTAAAAAAATAATATAAATACATAATGGACTTTAAGCATAGCTTTTGTAAGAGGACATGGAAAAATAACCGAAAAAATACAAACGGGAATACCTATTTTTATTTATACCTAGTTATTTCAGATTTATATTTTGGCCACCACACAGCCATGGACTAAGTGTTAAAGATTTTAATCTCTCAAGTACAAATGATGAATTGGTTTTCTCCTCTTGGAGCTTTTCTCAGGAAGTTCAATGAAAAAGAGGAGCTAACAGAGTATCTGTAACATTAATCATTCTTAAAGAATCTCTTGCCTGGTATAAAAATAAACACCTCATGATATCAAGTTTATAAGCAGGAAATATAATAAATACCAGAGCAAAATATAAGGACCACATCAAATAAGAAAGTGTCTCTAAGTGAACATGGAGCAGAAAGAAAATATGCCACATACTTCAAAGCAAGAACATTGGCAAGCTTATCAAAATACAATAGAGCTACAAAACCATTCTCTTCTCACACTGGGTGGACAAACCAGAGACTGACAACTAACTCCAAATAGATTTTTACAAAACCTGAACTGAGTAACCTAAAGCCTTTTGGAAAAAGATAGAAGTGTGTGTGACTAACCCTTTTGTGCCAAGAGATTCTCTACCTATGTCTCTCAAGCCCCTAACTCATCACTTCATGTTTCTTTGAGACTTAGGGATAAAGTCCATAGTTCTTTCTAGTGCCAGATTTTCAAATTTTGAATATGCTTGTTTGTTTGGCTTTGGGGGGAGCTCTCTCCTCCTTTCATCTAATTTTTCTTTCTACTATTGCTGGTCTTTTATTTCCTAGGCTTGGATTCTCTCTGCAGAGTAAACAAACAGGCAGGTCAACCCATCCCCATTGGCATTTTTACCAAAGCTCTCTCCCTTCAAGTGAGAGGGCAGAAAGTGAAAAAGAAAAAAAGAGCTAGAGGAACTACATGAGTCAGGGTTCTCCTAA